GACTTAAAGTCTATTTTGTCTGATATTCGTATAACCAACCTAGTTCTCTTTTAATTACTATTTGCTTGGAATGTCTTTCTCCATACTTCTACTTTGCATACATTTGAATTGTGTTTTTAAAAATCCGTTTGCCAGACTCTGCCTTTTGTTTGGACAATTTAATCCATTTACATTTAAAGTAATTACTGATACATTTACTACTGCCATTTTGCTGTTTATTTTTCATATGTCTTATAGTATTTTTGTTCCTCATTTCTTTGAAAGAAACAAAAGAATGCTTTCTTTTATGTTCAGTTGACTTTTTGTAGTGATTTCCTTCTCGTATATACTTATCTGTATATTCTACAGACATTTTCTTTGTGGTTACCATGGGGATTACATACAACATCCTAAAGTTGTAACAATCTAATTTGAATTTACACCAATTTAATTTCAATTGTATATAAAAACTACCTCTTTTGCCAACTCATACCATTCTGTACTCTTCTTCATGTTATTGATGTTATAATATATTGTATATCCAATAAGGTAGATTTAAAATCTATAATTACTTTTTATGCATTTGTCTTTTAAGTCTTGTTGAAAATAAAATGTGGAGTTATAAACCAAAATTAAATAATACTGGCTTTTATATTTGACTGTGTATTTATCTTTAGTGGACATCTTTGCATTTCATACTGCAGCAAGTTACTGTCCAGCATCCTTTCACTACAATTTGAAGGACTCCCTTAACTGTTTCTTATAGGGTAGGTAAAGTATAAATGAGGTCTGTTCTGTTCCTTGTCGTTCAAAGGTGTAAAGGAGGGGGATCTGGGAAATAGGCTGCTACCTACTGGGGACCAAGTCAGCCAACACACCAGTGAAGGGATTCAGAATGGCAAGTAAAAAAATGCCACAAAACTTCCCTAATGTTGTAAAGATGGCTTTTTCTTGCTTGAGTGTTTGCTTAGTTGCTATAGTTGACTTTTCCAGAACTCCTACAAAGTTGGTTCAGGCAGCTTCTAGTATTCTCCTTGTTTTCATGGGGAGAGGAGAGCTTGGAGCTTCCTAGTCTACCAGCTTGCGAAAATACTGTTCAACGGGTTCTTTTGTAAATTTTTTTTTTTTTTTTTTTAAATAAGATGGAGTTTCACTATGTTGGCTGGGATGGTCTCAATCTCTTGACCTCGTGATCTGCCTGCCTCGGCCTCTCAAAGTGCTGGGATTATAGGCATGAGCCACCGCGCCTGGCTTGTAAATTTGCTTTTAGACAAAGTCTCATTCTGTTGCCCAGGCTGGAATGCAGTGGCATGATCTTGGCTCACTGCAACCTCCACCTCCCAGGTTCAAGCTATTCTCCTGCCTCAGCCTCCTGAGTAACTGGGACTACAGGTGTGTGCCACCACACCCAGCTAATTTTTTATGTTTTTAGTAGAGACAGGGTTTTACCGTATTGGCCAGGCTGGTCTCAAGCTCCTGACCTCGTGATCTGCCTGCCTCGGCCTCCCAAAGTGCTGGGATTACAGGCATCAGCCACCGTACCTGAACCTTTTTTTTTTCTTTCTTTCTTTTTTTTGAGACAGAGTCTTATTCTGTTACGCAGGTTGGAGTGCAGTGGTGATTTTAGCTCACTGCAACCTCTGCCTTCCAGATTCAAGCCATTCTCCTGCCTCAGCCTCCCGAGTAGCTGGGATTACAGGCACGTACTACCATGCTTAGCTGTTTTTTTGTTTTTTTTTTTCTGAGACAATCTCACTCTGTTGCCTAGGCTGGAGTGCGATGGCATAGTCTCGGCTCACTGAAACCTCCGCCACTTGGGGGTCAAGTGATTCTCCTGCTTCAGCCTCCTAAGTAGCTGAGATTATAGGCACTTGCCAACCAACATGCCCAGCTAATTTTTTTTTGTATTTTTAGTAGAGACAGGGTTTCACCATGTTGGCCAGGCTGGTCTTGAACTTCTTACCTCAAGTGATCTGTCCACCTAGGCCTCCCAAAGTGCTGGAATTACAGGCATGAGGCATAGTGCTGGCCAATTTTATTTATTATTATTATTAATTATTTTTTATTTTTATTTTTGAGACAGTCTCTGTTGCTCAGGCTGGAGTGCAGTGGCTGCAGTCACTCCAGCCTCCACCTCCTGGGTTCAAGCAATTCTGCTGCCTCAGCTTCCCGAGTAGCTGGGACTACAGGTGCATGCCACCACACCCAGCTAATTTTTGTATTTTTAGTAGAGTTGGGGTTTCACCATGTTGGCCAGGCTGTCTGGAACTCTTGATCTCAGGTGATCCACCCACCTCGGCCTCCCAAAGTGCTGGGATTACAGGCTTGAACCACCATACCTACCCTAAAATACTGGTTTTTAACCTATGAAATTGGCAATGATTTTGAAAAATTGTAAAATTTATACAGTGTTTTGGAAAACTAGCACTATCAGTGTGGGTGATTTTGCTGGAAAGACAATCTGTACATGTGTGTGTTTATATATATTGTGTCTGTATATTTATATATCTGTATATATGTGTACAGGTATATGTATAAATATGTTTATATGTGTATTTTGTATTTATATATGTGTATATGTATATTAGTGTGTACGTCTGTGTATATGTGTAGGTATATACATACACAGAGTATATATGTATCAGAAGAGCCTTAAGATACTGATATCCTACTGAGCTAGAAATTCTACTCTTCAAAATTTGGTATAAGAAAATGATCATTGGTGTTTATGGGACGTTTTGGCTATAAGGATATTTGTTGCTCACATTCCTTATAATAATGAAATCCTGGCAGCAAAATTTATGTCCAGCATTAGGGGTTCGTTCAACATGATGGTCTAACCATACAGTGGGATGCTAAAATTCATGTTAAGTGTAGGGGCCATGGGAAAGCTTCCCCTTGCCCTCTGAAGGTTTACTGAAAAATCAACTCACAAAAAGGAGATTAACTGGAGGAAAGGCATGCAAATTTGATTAATGTGTACACAGGGAGAATTACAGAATGATTTCCCACCACCCAACAGGGTTCAGAAGCTTATAGACCATCTTGGCAAAACAACTTATGGGAGTGAGAAAGAGGAATTCTTTTGAGGGGCAATAAAGGATTAGTAGGAGAAGGAATGGATCAGGGCACAGAGATTAACTTGTACACTATTCTGTAAAAAGGTCTTTTCAGGTGTGGTTACATTCTTAGTCTTACAAGGAGGGCAAGAACAACAGTTGTTCTCCTTAGAGGGTCTGGACTTCAGGCAGTAAAGACATCTTGTGTTTTGGGAGAAACCAGTGGAGAGGGAGGTCAGAAAGACCGAGGCTTCTTCAGTTCAGCATGTAAAAGTGCCATATTTGGAAGTTATTGGTTTCTGAACCCCAACATTAGGAAGGAGATTTTATGTCAGTAAACATGTATTTCTTATTTTAAAAAGAATGCTTATTTCAGGAGTTCAAGACCAGCCTGGCCAACATGGTGAAACCCTGTCTCTTCTAAAAATACAAAAATTAGCTGGGCATGATGGTGAGTGCCTGTAGTCCCAGCTACTGGGAGGCTGAGGCAGGAGAATTGCTTAAACCTGGGAGGTGGAAGTTGCAGTGAGCCAAGATCTTGCCATTGCACTCTTAAGACCCTATCTCAAAAAGAAAAAAAAAAGCTCAAAGCTCTTTTAGTCTGATCTCCTTCATTTCATTACTCCCTTGAATCAGGCATTTAGGATTTAGGATTTCCCACTCCTCAAGCTCTTCCTAACCCTGGTCCTCCTGGATTTGTTCTTATTTTGGGTGTCATAAGTTCCCGTGGCTTTACTTATCAGCTCCCATTTACAGAGCATTAATTATCTTCTGAACTCAAGGTAGCAGTTAGGAATTTCTTTACTGAAGGAGGCTCAGAAACATTGACCGGATTCTCCCAGGAGGAAAAGGGACCCTGATTCACACAATGTTAACAAACATTTAAAAATAGTTACAAATGGTTGCAAATACTAACTCATTTAATCTTCACAGAGAGGGACTTATTTTTAGCCTTAATTTTCAAATAAGAAACTGTGGCCCTGGAAAGGTTCTATCTTGCTGGGGCTCCTAGAGCTGGTAATTGGTGGAGCCCAGATTCCAATACAGGTATTCTGGCTTCAGAGCTAAGGTTTTTTTTTTGTTGTTGTTTTTTAAATCACTTCAAAGGACACTTCAGTGCTGCAGAGCTAAGGTTTTAATCACTGCTTTGCTGTCTTGTATTCTTATTAGTAGTAAACATTTTAAAATAGTGGTTAATGATATATATATATTTTTAACTTTAATTTTATTTTAAAAAATAAGCTGGGAGCGGGACAGGCAGGGGGTCCTCTCAGTATGTTGCTCAGGCTGATCTTGAACTCCTGGGCCCAAGCGATCCTCCAGCCTCCGCCTCCCAAAGTGTGGGATTACAGGCGTGAGCCACTGTGTCCAGCCAATGATATTTAATGTAACACCAAAAATGCTATCAACAATGATTTACATTGTCCAGAGCTTTTTATTAAGCATTTTCACTTAGATCATTTTTGGAAACTCATTTTGCAGAGAGAACTGAAGCTCAAAAATCTACCTGCCTAAGGACTCATAACCCGTAGCAGAAGCTGTGAAGCCTCACTGGAGGAACTGCAGACTTATTATTTTTACTTTGTAACACAATGTAAAGAATAATAAAATTGCTTTGCATTGCTTAGAGCTTCACAATGCCACTTTACACATATTTTACAGTAAGTACAGTCTCAGAGAGGCCAGCAACTGTCCAACACAACACTGCAAGTAAGAAGAAGGAAAGTTATTGTTTTGCTTAATAATAACGCCTTACGCTTCAGGGCTAAAGAAAAGGCTTGTCTTACAGAAATTAAACTCCAATCACAGAGAGGTGTGGACTTCAGTAAGGCCCTGGGGCTGTTTTGTGGCCCGAGGGCAGGTTATCCTGCAGCTTTGGCACCGCCCGGCGAGTTCCGGCCTCCGGGCACCTGGGCAGGTGGGCGTTGGGCGGGCTCCGGGCTGCGGGCGGACCTGGGCCGCCCCGCCCCCACCCCGCCCCGGCCACCCCCGGGCTGCTCCGAGGGGACCCCGGGCCCACCACACCCCACCTCCATCCCTGGAGCGCGTCCCGGAGCGGGCGGGCGGCCGGCGGGCCAGGCCCCTCCCCGGCGCCGAGCCGCGGCCGCGCGGAGGAAGCGGAGGAGGCGGGAGCGAAGACCTCGCTGCGCTCATGGCGTCGCCCGGGTGAGTGCCGTCTCGCAGGCCCCGCGCCCCTGCGGCTGCCGGCAGGAACGGGAGCGGGACCCGGAGCGGCTCCGGCCTGCCGGCTCTGGTCTCGGACGCGGCCTGGACCCGGCCAGGGGCGCCCCCGCCCGCCAGGCCCTCTGGGCCCACGGCCCGTTCGAGCCGACCTTGGGCGGACGCGGCCGGGCGGGCGTGGGGGGCAGGCGGGGGCCCCGGCCGAGGACAGCGGCCCCCCGGGGTGCGGGAGTCGGAGTACGCGGGTCTAGGGGATCCGGGGAGGACAAGAGGCCCGGAGGCGCCGGGGGGCAGCGGGAGCGAGGGCCCGGCGAGCGGCTGGGGAACCAGGGTGCGGGTCCTTGCCGCGGCCCGGGGCAACCCGCGGAGGCCTGGAAAGGCTTCACTCCGGCGCCTGGCATCTCTGTTCCTGGGTTTTAAACTTGCTCGCGTTAGGAGTGGACGCTTGTTTGCCGCGTCGTTGAGACGTACCCAGAATGTCAGTATCGGGGCAGATGCAGACCCTTTGCTGAGAGCCACTCCGGGATCTCCTTGGTCGGGGCCGTTGCCTACCGGCTTGCCTTGAGGTGCCTGCGCTTATTCTGATATTACCTCTTTTCAACTTTTTTGGTTTAAAATGTTGTTCCTTTTAGGAAATGATGGTGACACACATAGTTTGTAATTTTTGGAAAAAAAAATTCTCACTTGGCAAACTAAAACCTCAGTAATTCATTATTATCTTTTTGTTTTAGTAATTTTACTAGTGCTGAAATCTGGGAATGACAGCCCAACATGTTCGTTTTACAGAGAAGGAAATTAGGCTCAAGGTCATCGCTTTAGTTGTTAAAATTCTTCTTTGACTGTTACCCATCATTCAGAGGGTCTTGGACCTAGTGGCTGTGCTAGCATTCAGAGTGCATCTTTACAGTTCCCAAAGAGCTTTACAGGTGTGTGTTGAGGGGCCGGAACGGGGGAGGGGGGACATGGTGCTGTGTGGCGGGGATCGTGGACATTGTGCCTCCTCTAGAGGAGGCATGAGCCATGCCCTGGGGTGTTTTGGCCCACTACAGTAGACCTGAATGAAGCAAGCTGAATTTGAATGTTGCCTGCTGTCTTTCTAGGTTTTGGGGCAGTGGTCATTTCCGGTACCAGGACTTTTCATTGCCAGCTGAGCACCCAGCACTTTGAGCTCATAAATAGAGTAAGAAGGGAACCATCCCTGGGAAGGCCAGGCTGATTGACCTAGGGATTCAAGGTCCTGCAGCATTCCTTTCCCACTTGTCAGGAAAGGGTGAGGTAGAGCCTCCTGGAGGCGACATGAGGGTGGCTGAACCTGTGTGGGACTGCCCTGAATGAAGCTTTTTTAAAAAAAAATCGTGGTGCATTGGGTGCCCAAGTACACTGCTTTGTAGACATGGGTCAGAGCTGGACTTCATGCTGCACTGGTATTTCTGTGAGCCAATAGGGCTTATGCTGTATCCCTGTAGTTGGTGATGTTTGATATTTGCGGTTCTAATTATTTGTGTGACCCCCATGAATCTACAGTTTGTAACCTGTAATTTTCTGAGGGGTATCCATTGCAAAAGCTGAGGTCTCAAAACCTTTAGTATACAAGTCATGCACCACATAATGACAATGGAGGACTGCATGATACAGTGGTCCCATGCACAAATACTTATCATTGTGTTAGTTGCCTATTCATACTGTAACATGCTGTACAAGTTTGTAGCCAAAGAGCAACAGGCTGTATGCACCATATATAGCCTGGGTGCATAGTTCGCCCTGTCATGTAGGTTTGTGTAAGTTTGCCCTATGATGTTCACACAAGGACCAAACTGCCAAACCACTCATTTCTCAAAATGTATCCCTATTGTTAAGTGACACATGACTGGTGCTTTATTTCATTTGGTGGGGAAAACTATGCATATTATGTACATTGCCAGACATAGCTCCTACGTGTCCACTGCGACAGGCTTCCCTGGTAGATCAGAGTCTAGCTAGGAAGACAGTGCTTCCTGAGACCCTGAGGGCTGTTTCAGCCAGCCAGCTTGCAAACATTAAAGCTACTGCACTAGGTGTACGAGTCCAGAGGTATAGGGCAGGGATGGGAAGGGAGGGATGATCTGGCCTGGGTGAGTCATAGAGGAATCTCCAAATTGATGTTTTTACTAAGTGACAGTCTCCATGAATTGGGAAGGAAAGAAGAAATGCTGACCATTTTTGAGGACCTTATGAATGTGTCAGGCATTGTGCTAAATATTTGAGAAATGCCCCGCCCACGGCCCAGTGTGTTTAGAGCAAAGTGGAGACAAGTCCATAGGATGAGACTGGGACCAGACCATGGGACCTGACCCCCTTTGTGGACTCACTGCCCACCACTTGCTGAAGGTAAATGACATGATTTGCACTGGTGGAGCTCTCAGAGAATCCACGTTACAGCAGTATAGAGGTGGCAGAGAGGGCACAAGACATGGAGCAGCTCATGCTACCATCTGCCCTCTCTTGAACTGGCCTCACTCAACAGCCCATCTCTTGTCTCTGCCCCTTGCCTGGCTGTCTCACAGCTGCCTAGGTCTTTCTTGTCTGTTAACTCCTTTGCCTGCTCTTTCACTGTTGGGGTTTCCTTGGGCTCTGTAATCCGTCTCTGCTAGTAGCCCCAACACACGTTCTCTGCATGGTCACATCTGTTTTAGTGGCAACTGTTGTCTGAATCAGAGGTTCTTAACCTAGGCTCCATGATTCATGGATGGGCTTCTGGGGGGTCCCTTTGTTCTCTGAAATTGTATGCAGCATTGGGAGTCCTGTGTAATTTTCCTGGGAGCAAGGTCTGTAGCTTTCAACAGATTTTCAAAGGGGCTCTTATGCATAACAATGTTACAACTATACATCCTGAATTTTCAGATTTTCATTTCCAGCAACACTACATACAGCTCCTCACGTTTCTTTAACCTGGGTTGCCAATGCAAAGTCTATATTTTTCAAGTTGTTACTAATGGATAATTTGAAAAACACAAAATAAAGATCAAGTGTAATAGGCTTTTCATAGACTACCGATCTTAAAATCTTTTTTTTTTTATTTGGTCTGCTTGCTAGGGAAAAAGTCTTAAAAAGATTTTAAATAGTCACTTATTCTTATCAGAGAGACAGCTTTGTAGAAACAACTAGTGTCCCTCCTCCCTCCCATCTGAGTTTGGTGGGTGCCCTGACAGATGTTTTCCTTGCATTTGCATACTAAGTTTGTTCCTTGCTCTGTTTTTACGTAAATGCTATCATACTGTTCTGCAGCTTGCTTTATTTGCCCAACAATATGGCTTGAAATTCTTTCCATGCCGGAACAAGGGACAGATCCATATACATTTTTTTGTTTGTTTGTTTTACCTGCATTTTCTCTCTCACTCTCTTTTTTTTTTAAATAGTGATGAGGGTCTAACTATATTGCCTACTTTGATCTAATAGTGATGAGGATCTCACTATGTTGTCTAGGTTGATCTTGAACTTCTGGGCTCAAGCCATCCTCCTGTCTTGGCCTCCCAAATTGCTGGAATTATAAGCACATTACACCGTTCCCAGTCTACCTACATTTTGACAGATATATAATATTCCATGGATGGTTATATTATTCAGTTAAGGATGTTCCCGATTTTCTCAAAGATAATGCTGCCCATCTGTGTCTCTGGATATGTAGAGTATATTCGAAGACTTGGACTACATGAGCAGAGGGCTTGCCTGTTGTTTTTTTGTCTTTCCTGCCTGTTTTAACTTGATGCTACCAAATGATCCTCTTAAATGGTTTACCACCTTCCCCGCCACCGCCAGATTTTGAGGATTCTCTATACCTCCCAACACATGATGACATCATACATGAAAAGTTTTGCCTGTCTGATGGAATAATTAAGTCAAGAAATAGGATGCTAATGGCATCTTTGTTTACCTTTTTTTTTTTTTTTTGAGATGGAGTCTCACCGTCTCCCAGCCTGGAGTGCAGTGCCACGATCTCAGCGTAATACAACCTCCGCCTCCCAGGTTCAAGCTGTTCTCCTGCTTCTGCCTCCCAAAGTGCTAAGATTACAGGCATGAGCCAAATCGCCCAGCCTTATCTGGTCTTTAGAGGTAGAAACTTCATCCCTGACCCCTATATTCCCTTAGAAATACTCAGTTTGTTTCTTTGATTCAGTTGGTGGCAGCAAGTAACAGTTGATCTCCATAAGTAAACTCCCACTCCTCAGCTCTTTATTTCAGAAAATATGGTCCCTGTCTGGCCAGGAGAAATGGAGTGAGATCTGCCCTAGAAGGGAGGAACTTGAGCAGAGAATGGGTGGGAGGATCTGTGGGTTCTGAGTGGGGCTATAGAGAATGCTTGGCTATATAGAGATGGGACTCAAGGTAGTGGATGAGGTGACTGAGTGATTGAAACCCAGGAATGTGTGGCTAATTGGGGTAGAGGAGAAGCCGTCACTGGACAGCAAACCCTAGGCCAGTGGTTCCTCCCTGGACCGATTCCTTGCCTGAGGAGGGAGGGCACATGGACCTTGGCCTTTTCCTGCCCCTCCTCTTCCCCCTCCTCCTCCCTCTCAGCCATCCTCTCCTCCCTCTTCCCCTCCCCCATCCCTTTTCTCCTCCATTTTCTCTTCCTTCTTTGCTGTCTTCCTTCTCCGTTTCTGCTCTTCACTCCTCTTCTTTCCTCTCCGCCCCTCCTCCCTCCTCCCCTGCGATCTCCTCAGGTCCTTCCCCCAGCCCACTGTTCCTTTACACATTCAGCTGGAGACCTCATCCACCCTCCTGGCTATGCCTCTCAGGAACATCTCGTCCCCTGGGAATTGTCAAGGAATCATTTATCTTGGTAGCTGAAGGCACCCCCATTAACATCCATTGGCCGTCAAAAGTACCTTTACTTTTTACCTTTTGTCTTGGCTGTCCAGGAAGATTCTCTGTCACCATTGTCATTTTGTGGGAAGGGAAGGGCTTAGCATTCCCACTGGCGATCCATCCTGGTCCGAATGGGCCAG